GGAAGACGGAAAACGTGAAAGTGTAGAAAGAGAGGCGTCAGCAGTAGCATGTTTTCGCTTACCCGCCCTGCTGTGTGCAGCAAGTAAGGCGACCCGGCTGATGGCACACGCGACGGCACACCACGGTAAGGTCCAGCCTCTTCGTGGTAGAAGGAAACATCTTAATGTTTTCACACTCCTTTCGCAGGTGACAGTACGACTAACCCCAGACCGTCTCCTATTAAGATTATTCTTGCTCTTTCTGGTCTGACTGCTCCCTTTTGGTCTGCCTGACACGGTTACACCTTGTGGAATGGAGTTAGAGCAAGTGTAGCACAAGGGATCATTAAAGCACCCAAACTCGACCACCACTTATAAGTTTTAGCCATAGGTCAGGCCAGAAATTGTGTTGGAGACAGCTGACATAATAAAAATAATCGTTCAGCCGTAGCACCCTTTCGGTTCCTAACTGCCATGCCACATGAAGAAAGCATGAGGGCTGACATATTGCCAAGCCTAGACAGGGGAAGTTGAGATGCAGAGGTCGGGTTCGAACCACGGGCTTTCCGGTCAGTAAATCCGCGCTCCAACCACTTGAGCCATCTCGCCCCTCCGCTTCGAGATATAGCCCTGAAAACGCGGAAATCAACAGCTGGCTAACGTCTGGTAAAAACAAAACAATGACCGGAAGACGGGAAGCGTGGGAAACCTGGTTAATGCAAACAGAAACTTATCCAAAGCTTGTGCGAAAATAGGAATCGCCTACGGCAACCAGGTTAGCATAGGCAAGCAGGCGCTCCAAAGAAAGGCAGTGTATAAAGCCCTCACATGCCTTAAGGGCACCTTTGACACGCCATTTGGTTCCACTTGACTCCATTTGGCAAAAAAATACACTCAAAGCTAAGTCCCGAACCAAAATAATACAATGGATGTTCTTTCTAAGAATTACACAAATATACACCCTAGACTACCAGCTTTTTGCTGGCGAGATACTTGCTCGCTTGATATTTTGCACAAATGGAGCTAGGAATAGGATTCTCATCCTCGACATCGTCAAAGCAGCAGGTTCTGGTGGAACACGGGTGATTAAATTAGCTAGTATTGCAGGCGGCTGATGCTATTACCACAACCTCTTGTTGGTTCGTCCCATACAAATTGGACCTGCACGATAAATACTTCATTTGCGACTGCATAGTTACACATAGTCGTTGGATGGCGCACTACGTATCGCATTAAGTAACGTTTTTGAAAACGTTACACCTTAGGCAAAGACGGAGTGCTACTGGGACAAGCAGTGAAAACGCTGTTGCAGTGCACATGAACCACAAAGCCTACAAAGCCTTTCATGAAATCCTCATGGGTCACAAAAATGAAAAATCGAAAAGTTGTGGTAATAGTGATATTCACCGCAGACGTCACAACACCGAGCTGACAGAAACATCCCAAATGATATTTGACGGCAACCTTCCAGACGATTGAATATGCTGCTGTACAGAACCACACTATAAGGGTAGCAGGGTAACAAAACCAAATAACCACAGATCGACTGCGGTCAACCAACCGCATCTAACTAAACAAAGTGGTTTCTTGAATTAATCATAATGCCAACTCATTGAATGTCAACAAGTAAATGGACAGCAGTCGCTGGATCAACCATCCTTATGATAACAATTATCTTGATTTTCGAAAGCCTTCGACAAAATCGATCTTCGATCGAACTTCGATTGGAATTAGGCCCCGACGGAATAGCCGGGGCACCACCAAGGCTGTACTCTAACCACCTCGGGACTTAGTCAGTGGAGACGACGGCAACACAGCATCGCAAGACAAACTCCATACATTAGACCACCAGCCGAAACTAAAAAGAAACATCCGTAGTGCCAAAAACGTCTTTATATGAGTGTCGAGAACAGCGAAATTTGTGGACTATATTGTAACTGTTGCCTACCCACCTGCTGAGATGCCACGTTCGTGCGGTGAAGTCCCTTGAGGCAGATACAACTAATTGCTCCGACAGGCACGCAACGGAACGGACATCACTTTTGTGTCCCACAAGCGCACACCTGAAACGGTAGTTCCCAACCATTTGATATCAGACTGTTTTTGTATCAATATACATCGACGGTAGCAACTGACCATATGCCTCAAACGAAGCCAGTCAGGCAACAAAAAACCCAACAGACTCAGCAAAATCCGATAATCTGATTGGTTGTTTGTCGTAGCACTTGCCTTTAGGCCGCTTCGCTGCCTCGGTCACTTGTCTTCAGGAAAACTCCTCGGAACTGCTTTGTCCATGTCACAATGCTTGGCAGCAAAATGGTATATTTTCCGGTGGCTCAAGTTTCAGCAACCTGAATCTTTGTAACACAATCAGGTAAAGATTTTCTCAAGGCACGAGCCATTCGTCCCGGATCATTACATGAACTACAGTTTTGGCCAGTTCTGCTGTGATCCCTAGAGGCACACTGTGATGAACATGATTGATACTCTATTCATTGCTCTATTCATTATTCTCTTGTTTTATTATTCCACAGGCTGTACGTATACGCCAATTCGAATACACGGATTCACGGATTGATACACAGGATCGAGGTTTTTGCCAAGTTTCCCCGGTCGGTTTTGTTCCTGTCGGTCAGCACATACGTGGTGCTTGTTGCGTGGGTGTGAGTTCTGGGTTCCTAGTTAGTCTGGTTATACTGATATACGTTCGGAACTTAATTCTTACATTTTGGCGTCGCGGTTGGATCGATTCCTCATGCCTGCCGAAATGGAACCATTACATGTCAATTAAACTGCGCGAGATGTAGAAGATTATTTGGAACGGTTCGACATCTGGTGTCTCACGCTGGTAAGGTCCTAGCCCGCTAAGGCTATTGTGTTTTGTACCTTTATTTTTCTCCTATTATAACATCACTTATTTCGCCAATTGCGTAAAAGCTTTTGTTTGAGTACGAGAAACCACGGAAATGTGCATTTATGCAATTACACGCAATACAAACGAGGTCATGTGCTACTACCCTTTCTTCTGATTTTGCTCGCGATTACAGCGGCATCAAAACATTACAGACTATATTTGGAATAGAGTAAATGTGAAAGAGGAAGATCAGTGAACATCCATGGTAGAATTATTATTTATTCCCTTACCTGGGCGGATGACGTACTGTTTTAAAGTGAACAACTCTTACTGAGTCTGTTCAACCTGACCTGTTTATCATTGAATACTCAAACTAACGTTAGTATTGTTTTTTGCAACGCACTCCTGGTAAACCAGCTGTTGATTCCCCCTGTGAATCAACGGTGATCAAGGGTAACTTTCCTTGTTTTCTGACTACTCATGAGTAACATGACTTACACCTGTTTATTGTGGCACCGTTTCGTTTTCTTGCTGCGCGTTTTCCCCAGTTTCGTTCCTACTTAAGGTCTGTTTATCCCTCAGTTACTGATGTGAATATTTTGTTGCCCGTCTGTCATTGCCTGCAAGTTCGTGTCGATTGCACCAATTTTGGGTCCCCACTCCGATGGAAAAGCGGGCCCACCGGGTGTCGAACCCGGACCCTCCGGACGGCAGGAGAACGCGCTAACAACTACGCCGACCCGACATCCGGAGCGGCTGATTATTTCGTATTACCCATGTATCACGACTGCCTGATAGCCTTTGGTGAGCTTAGTTTTAAACCGACGAAAACGCGCAATATGACCTGTCACGCGACACGAGCAGCCCCGTCGACGCCGACCGAAAGACAATCCCTCACATCCCGAACGTACTGTCTCCTGCGCCGTTACGGCCGATTCACACTGTCAGACTGCCCCTATATGTGTGTCTGTAAATCGTTTGGTAGTTACTTGCTGTTGCCCCTATAGAAATCCGTGCTGCGTCAGTGACTACTTTCCGCTCCTGCTGACTGCGTCACTGTTGATTGTACGTTAGCTTAATTCATGATGCTTACTAATCCGTTTGTCTGTAAAACCAGTTCTTGTCAGTTCTCAATATATCATCTGCTGCCCCACGTCCGTCTGCTCCTATTGACTACTGGCTGCGAACTGCGTATAATCCAATAGTCGTGATCGTCCTGTGAGATCCATAACCGTCCGGATCTTACAAAGATATTCAACAGTCACAGAGTTAATCAATATTGCACGGTTACTCGGAAACACAACTCAACCGACGTTACCATGTCGGACGAACATTTCGCCAACCTTCCTCCACTCGAATACTTCCCCCCGTCGCCCGAGCGAGAGCTCCCTATCGATCTGAAAAACAGAGCTACATGGCTGGAAATGGAGATGGCCAAAGTCCGTCGCGAAATGGCTAGCCTCCAGAGTTCTGATACCGCTACAGACAGAAGACTCCAAGAAGCTGTTATGCCTCCATCTTTCCAGTTGACCAGGAGGGGGACTTCCCCCAGCTACCATATGACGCCTCCAAAGAATCCACAGACGACGTCCATAACGTACCAACATCTTCCGGAACTGCTAAACCTCTGTATGGGTGTGCCTCAGAGAAAGGTACCAAAGTTCGACGGTAACCCCTTGAATTACTGGAAGTTTCTGAGGGGTTTCACCAGTGGGGACGCCCAATACGTTACGGATCCCGCAAATCGCCTAGCCTTCTTGATCGATGCATGTGAAGGCGAAGCACGAGAAGCAACCGATCACTGTACAATACTTGAGCCGGAACACGGCTACTCAGAAGCCTGGAAGATATTGGGTCACAGGTTCGGCAACCCCTCGGTGATCGCAAGACAATACACTGCGTCTTTCACAACCGGGCCGCCCACCAGGCCGAACGACGCCAGCTCACTACTTAAGCTAGTGGACACAATGAAAGCTTGTTGGTTGGTAATCTCCCAACTGAATTACTCATCAGAGCCTAACACTAGAACAACTATAGGCGCTATTATTAGCCGTCTTCCGACTGCTATCCAGTCACAATGGTTCGATCGGGCCTCGGAAATCCTCAGGAAGAACCGAGAGCACAGTTTCGTCGATCTGACTGATTATGTTCTAGGCAGAGCAGATGCGTTATCAGTTAGAGAGACTTATTTGCCGAATGTTTCCCAGCCGAGCACCAGTAGGTAAGAACGCCCCCGTAGCTCTGTGACGGTACCATCGCCAAGGCTCTCCACACTTGTGAAGACGTCCGCAGCAATAAGCCTGGTAATGGAGAACGTAACCCGACGATATACCGTCCGTGCGTGCACTGTGGCAAAATGCACTACCTCGATGGATGCTCGCAATTCATCCGCTTGGACGCTGATTCCCGTGCAACGTTCATCCGCTCAGCTGCACTTTGCGAGCTTTGCCCCAAGCCAAGACATAACGCGAAATTGTGCCGCTCGAGGCGATGTTGCGGACTTAATGGCTGCGAAGGTTTACACCACCCGTCGCTCCATCCGCCCACTCAGCCTTCAGCTAAGTCAGCGGGGCCAACATGCCAGGAAAAATACTATCCCGACCTCAGCGTCAACTGTGCCAGCGGATCGTGTAATCGGACAACCGTGGCACTCGGCGTACTGCCTGTAACTCTTCGCGGTCCCCGTGGAGTTTATAGAGTCAATGCACTTCTTGAGAGCGGTTCAGACT